TCTTATCTTTTCTCTTGTTTTAAAAAGAGCAATAATTTAAATAAAACAGGAAAAGTGTCATCTTCTCAAATTTTCTAGATACAGTAACACCTTTAGAAGACGTTTTGTAGTTATGGATTTTGAAAAATATCTTAATCGCGTCTATTTTTCTATCATGAAATTGATACCTTACCACTGCTTTTGTACAGCTATATGAATTGCTGTATTATCTTGTCTTTTTCTGGTTTAACAGCCAAAATCTGAACTGTATGCCGATAAATGAGAAGCATCTTAAGAAGGAAGCAAGAAAGTAAATCATTTATTATAGTGACATGTGTAGCATAAATAATATAACATAATGATAATACATCAGTTATTTTAAATTACACCCGGCCCGTTGTACCTATAAGTCACTTTACACTTAATGTTCATATTTTCAATACCAATGTCAAATTGCTACTTGTAAAGAAGTTCCTTCCTTTTGCAGAAAAATAAATTTACATATTTGGCGGTTTGTCTTTGACGAAGTGTCATCAAATTAGCAAATGTTCTACTGTCAATAAAATTACTATTAATGTTCACTGATTCAAAATACAAGTGACTTAAATTATTGTAAGCTTTACAGTACAGTAAGAAATGTTTTTCATCTTCGAAAGATCCGTCGTTGCATAAATTGCAGAAATGTTCATCAGGAGCCTCATTTCTAAATCGCCCAGTTTCAATACGCAAAAGTAGTATATTACAGCGAAATACAGTTCAGTCTCGTACTTTCGTATCAATTCGTTGGATACCAATTTTCGTTGATTTCATTTCGTGGGTACAGGGGAATCACGAATTTAAATGTTCAACGAATTATAAATTTTCAAACGAAATGTATGCAGACTTTGCACGATTTAAGATTAAACATACTCTGGCTTAATTTATTTTTGTGGATATCAATTTTCGTGGATTGAGGAAAACTTGCATTTTCGTGGATATTTTATTCCACGAAAATGCAAATTTTCCTCAAATCCACGAAAATTGGTATTCACGAAAATAAATGAATCCACAGTATGTTCAATCATAATGTAAGTCCTTAATTTTGGGAGAGTAGTGATTTAACAGTCCAATCGTTTTCACAGTATTCCATAATTATCATTTTAAATAATTCAATGTTGCATACATTTACATTTTCCTAGCAACTGTCCATGTCCATTATGTGAAAAAATGTCCTTCATCTGAGAACTCCTATGTCTCGATTTATTATAGTTCCAAAGAAATACATTTTTCGTAAGTCTATCATTGTCTATTTTCACAAGGTGGTTCCGTCTTCTTACCATACAATTCCATCGTCCGAAAGTGGGCTGTTACCATCCTAGTTCACTGTTCAGATAAACAACTGGTACAAATCTGTGTAATCCCAAAAAGTATCTAATAGCTTCAATGGAGTGGTATGTTTTATACCCCAAAACACCTGCACAATAGTCAATGACTGGTACGACATACGACTCGAAAAGGGTTTTAAATGCAACATCCTTAAAATTGTAAATTTTTGAAGTCATCCCTCGTAGTGCCCGTTCTCCAGCTTTACCTAATGTTTCGGTGGCAACACTAAAATCCATTTTATCATGGAAAATAACGCCAAGATATTTGTATTGACTTACATACTGTAAACAATTTGGTCCAATCTTGAAATCAAAGGTGCTTTGTGGCTCACGCTGTTTTCTAAAATGTATGACATTTGTTTTTCAACAATTAACACTAAGTCTCCAGCGTTGACACCAACTGTACAACACATCTAAGCAACGCTGCATAGAATTTTCGGTCTCTGTTAGAATAACAATGTCGTCTGCATATAGAGAAAACTGATTTTTTCGTTATCACAAGGTATTTCCAGTCTCTAGATCTTTAATTTCAGTAGCTAAATTGTTGACAAGGAGCAAAAAAAGTAGGCGATAAATTATCCCCTTGGTGTACACCATTTGAACACTGGAACCAATTTGTACTATGATCATTTATGTAGACACATCATTCTGTGTCAATTTATAAGCTAGAAATAGCATTATACATGTTTCCGTCAATTCAATTTAATTGTAGTTTGTATTGTAGTACATCCCTATCTTCATAATGGAAGGCTTTTTGCAGATCCTCAAAGGTAGCAAATGTTGATTTCCTGTCCTGAATTAGGCAATTCAAACTGCATTATCTCGTATTTTCTGGGTTAATTGCCAAAATCTGAACATTTTGGGGGCCTTTTATAGCTAACTATGCGGTATGGGTTTTGTTCATTGTTGAAGACTGTACGGTGACCTATAGTTGTTAACTTCTATGTCATTTGGTCTCTGGTTGAGATTTGGCAGTTATACCACATCTTCTTATATTTTTGCTGATAAATGAAAAGCCTTCTATGTAAGTACATATATTGTATATTGACAAGTGGTACACCTAAACTGTCCTAATAACAAATTTCAACATGTTATCTAGGCAAACGTTTCAAATTCAATTAAATAGTTATCACTGGAGGATAAGGACCCGGATCCCGCTTATTGTTTTGTCAGAATCCCGTATCCTGCAATAATAGCGCTTGTAATTTCAAGTGTCGCCCGACTTCGTTTCCCGTTTTCACGCAAAATAATTTCACTCTCATGTGTCACGCTTAGATCCCACATTAGACCAAACCTAAACCGCCCAAATCACAAACTTTAACAAATAGTTTGATGTAGAATTCTAAACCGCTGAATTCAACATACATAGGTCTTGCCTGCATGACTTCATTGAGGCAAGATAAATACTTTCAACTGACCTACTTTGTATAGGAAGACCTGCATGACTTCATTGAGGCAATATACATACTGTGAACTGACCTACTTTATACAGGTTATCCTTGTGTCCCATATCAGGCCGAAAGGTTGATGAAAAGTGTTTCAATTTTGATAGACTAAATTGAGAATGGCAACGGGGAATGTGTCAAAGATATAACAACCCGACCAAAGAGCAGAAAGCAGTCAAAGGCCATCAATGGGTCTTCAGCACAGCGAGAAAATCCCGCATCCGGAGGTTGGATTCAACATCAAACAATGTAAGATGAACTTAAATATGAGAAACTTCGAAACTATGTAAGATTGAGATGTGTCCACTCGTCAGGTATTAGCTGTGACATTTATACATTAAACAAGTTTAAAAGGTGAAATACGACAAACATCTATAGATTTATAAATGAAAAGCAATCCTTGTGATTTCATCAAAATTTAAAATATTCTAAGGTGATGTGTACTCTATATTTCAAACACTGAAATGAATAAAATTAGTCATTTTACCTGCTAAAAGAAAAAAAATGCTAGTCCCCATATTTTATAAAACAGATATTTCGGATTTGATCATTGTATTAACTTCATACAATGCAAGAAAATGTTGGTCAATTCTTTTATAGCAGCAGTATCTACAGTTTCCCAGGAAAAATGATTCCTATTTATTTTCATGAATATAGTGCATTTTGTATATAAAATATCAATGAAATATTTTATAGTATTACTAACCAAAATCTTTCAATCATCTTAGTACCTTAAATTGGATCACTATATATTTTTGTTTTTTTTTTCATTACGCAACTTAATTTCTATTGTCTTATAAAGATATCTATATTTCCAACTGTCATGTGGAAGAATAACTCAAAAAAGAAAATACGTATAGTAACCATGTCAATTACTTCTTTTCAAGTTTTGATTTACGTTAACTACATATAAAAGTTACATCCTATTTGCAGAAAATGCATAATATATTTGTATTTAAGTATATTTAAGAGCACACTAATCAGGCTAAAGATGTCTGTATCTAAATTTAACAAATTTATTTCCTAATCTGTAAATGGGGAAATTTTTTAAATGTCCTGATAAATGTTGGAATTTCAGAATCAATGTACAATTCACCATCTTTACAGTGCAAACTATTGTTCAAATTATTAAAAAAAGGAACTATTAAGCCGTAAATGTTCAAAGGAAAATTATACCCTGATCAGGAAATTAGTTAACTCGAATAATTGAGCACCCTCTGACGTTCGGTGTCCTCCAGAGTTAATGTAGTGATCTCGGTGAGCGGAATATAACGACTGGATTATTCGGGTTAGAAATTAGTGGGAAATTCCGAGGTTTATTGACGCAGGATATGAACATAAGTTTAACTGTGTTATCAGATTAGTTACATTTATAGTGAGAACAAGGTGCTAAAAATTTAATTTTACATTTCTCTGCGTTATTACAGCTACAATGAAAGTTTTAAGGATAGTCTACGTGGCGTCGTTATTCCTCATAAATGAAAGTCTACCTTCAAAGTGTACAACAACTAGAACCGTGAATGACGTGTCTACGGATTGTCATGGAAGGGGTTTCCGGTATGTGCCCAGAAATATTCCTAACGATACTACATATTTAGACTTGTCTGACAATAAGTTGTACGTTATATTTAACTTCGCGTTTTCAAGACTAAAAAATGTTTCTAGTTTGAAATTATTATCCGCTCAGATATCAGTTATCGAGTCAAAAGCGTTTTCTGGATTAGTTAAACTGATTTCATTGGACTTATGTAATAACACTCTTGATATACATTCTCTACCGGAGAATGTTTTTGATTCGTCATCCTTTTTGAGGATTTTAGATTTATCTCAGAATAACTTCCGTCACTATCCTGAGAAAGTTTTAGAAAAACTATCAAACTTAGAGAGATTATCAATCAATGGTATTAATGACCAAAACTTTGGAAACGGATTTCGTTCTCTACGTAAATTAACATATCTTAATTTTAAACCTTGTATGATTACTAGAATAGGCAACAACACATTTGATGTTTTTAAGAATTTACAATTGAAGGAACTGATTTTTCATTGTAAAATAAGGTACGTGGAACCTGGCGCTCTCAACCCATTGCAGTCGATAGAAAGTCTCGATATTTCAAACAATTATAATGTCCGGGTATCTTCTCTGCTTGAATTACTGAACGGTCTTATGGACAGAAATATAACATCAATAAACTAAAGCAATAGTTTCAGAGCTGTCGCATCCGCTGACGTTTTGTTGACATCACAGTTTTCAATGATTGGAGCAGTCTGCGTGAAAGAGGTCGACTTGAGTCGTAACCGTATAATATCGATACAGTCAGGAGGAATAAATTTAATGAAACATAAAAATTGCTTAGAAAAACTTATTCTCAAAGAAAATAGTATATGGGGTGACCGTAGTATTGTTATAGAATTGGTTCAATTGGTAAATGTTCGTTGGTTAGATATATCGAATCAGGCAACGTTACACGTCAAAACGAAAGTTAACAAAAACAAAAACTGTGTACGTTGTCTAGATATAACAGATACAAAATATTTATCTGACAGATTAACGTTTGCCTTCCAACTACCACGTAATCTGCAATATATAGATGTATCATATTTTGGTATAAGAAATTCTGGTTTAGTTAATCTAAATTTCACAAATGCTGGTAAAGTGGATTTCTTAAATCTAGCTGGTAATAAGTTCAAAGATTGTCTTGGACATTTTCATGGACTGTCACATTTACAAACACTTGACATCTCGGATTTTAATTGTAGTGAGCTTGATCTAAAAATAATCAGTTTTATGCCATATTTGAAAACATTGATTAGCAGAAGAACACATTTAAATGTCGGATTGCAAAATGATGTAAATGGTGAATTTTTAAAACAATTATTTGACGTGAAACATATTGACTTCTCAGACAATGGGTTTGTTACATTCAATCAAAACATGTTTGTATCGCAGTACCGTTCACTCATTTCATTAGATTTATCAAAAAACAAATTTTCCAAATTCCCAATTCAAATCAGCAAATTTTCAACTTTGATGAAATTAAGTCTCGTGCAAAATCGGATTGCTTATCTACAGAAATCTGATATGAATCAACTGGAGAACTACATACGTGAGCATAATATTAAATTTGAGCTTCTTTTGAATGACAATCATTTCGTTTGCAATTGTGACTCGATCGATTTTGTGATATGGCTCCAAGAAACAAAAGTGACACTAGATAAAAACCGCAACTACTCGTGTGTGTATATTGATAACAGCCAGAAAAATACAGTTTATGCATACAAACATCTTGAATTCATTGAGAGTAAATGCCCCAGTAAGATATGGCTTACCATAACAATAATTGGTGTGGTGGTTTTTCTTTTCATTTTCACAGCAAGTGTCATAGCATACAAATATAGAATAACTCTACATTTTTGGTACCTTCATATCCGCCGGAAGTACCGCCATTATACAGCACTAGAAGGAGGTTCTAAAGAGTACAAGTATAATGCATTCGTTGCCTATTATAATGAAGATGAAGAATGGGTTTGTGGGTCTCTCGTTAATTATTTGGAAAAGAAAAATGGTTTGGCATTATGTTTACACGATAGAGATTTTGCAGCTGGGAAGCTTATTATGGATAATATCATAGACGCCATTTTTGAAAGCAAAAAAGTAGTTCTTGTTATCAGTGAAGAATTCTTGAAAAGTTCATGGTGCGAGTTCGAACTTGATATGGCGAGAATGAAAATGTTTCAAGACAACAGAGATATGTTGGTCGTTGTCCTGTTGGACAAACTTTCTACGTCACAAATGCCTATTTCCTTACAGAGAATTTGGAACAAAGTGACATGTTTAGAAGTTGACGAAACAATCTGAACAAATCAAAATGGCAATTTTGAACATTTATTCTGGAAAAGACTATATGAAGCAGTCGTGATGTAAATGGAAATTTAAACGTTGATCAATTCTACTTATTATACGAATAAAAAGCACCACTTGAGATGTATTGCATTCCAAAAGCAATCTTTGGACAAGTGTCTATAAAACATTTAAAGCTCTTAATCACACTGAAACATTGTCGATGAAGAAGTATCGTCAACTTTCTGTAATTATTTCTTTAAATTTATTTGTTACAATGTAGACATGCATCAGTTTACAAGTAGTAAATGTAGGTCTATGACACACGGCGTTCCGTTCCTTAACATCATGTGAATATTTCATTTCCGGAATTTACTTGAAACATCTATATAAAACAAGTGAGGACACAGATACATATTGTCAGTGGTGCAAAGATGGATATAGATGCATAAAAAATAAGTTCATGTTTAGTAAAAGAAAATGTACTGTGGTCATGAAACAGACATACTTTTTCTAGTATGTTTTTGTCGTTATAAATAACCAAGGGAATTTGACAACAGGCAAAGCCTTTATATTCAACCTACTGGATAGGCATTGTCGCATAACACCTCATGTTCCTTTTAGTTGGAAAGCAAAATAAAAACCTTTAGTGAATTATTATCTAACCTCCTTTACATTTCTAGGAATATCATTGGCTCAAAGCGAACAGACATACCTAAATTTAGACAATGCCTGTAACATATATAGTGAAAAGAATAATTTTGAAGAGTTGAGTTTTTTCTAGTGTTAAAAATACATAAGTTTCATTCAACAGTTCATCCTGAAGAATATCAATTTGAAAGTCTGTTTTGGTCTTGTGAGTTTTATCCCTTTAGAACATCTTTTCTTGTAACATTTGAGAAATGTTGAAGAGTTGGAGCTAGTAAAAGGCATACTTTGTAAGGAGCAGAATTAGTATAATTTCTTTTTTTCTATATGTTAACAACATACTCATCATATATACCAGGATTAAAATTGCGTACGCCAGACACACGTTTCGTCTGCAAAAGACTCACCAGTGACGCTCGAATCAAAAAAATAAAACGACCAAATAAAGTACGACGTTAAAGAGCATTGAGGACCAAAAATTGCGAAAGGTTTAGCCAAATACATTTAAGGTTGTTTATTCCTTGGGTAGAAAATCCTTAGTATTTCGAAAAAAACAAGGTTGTGTATACAATTAATTCTGGTCTTATATTACTTTAATATACGTATTTTAAAACAAATGTGGAACATAAAAAGACAATGCTTTAACATTTAAACTATGGAAAACTTTTAAAATATATAAACCATGAAGTAAGGTGTCTGGTTTAAATTATCTCCAAGGAAATGAGATGTGTTAATGACAACGGGTGCAACTAGGGGAGCAGGATCTGCTTACCCTTCCGGAGCACCTTAGATAACCCCCGATTTTTTTGGGGGTTTCATGTTGCTCAGTCCTTAGTTTTCTATGTTGTGTTTTGTGTATTGTTGTTCGTCTTTTCGTTGTTTTTCGTTTTTTGCCATTGCATTGTCCGTTTGTTTTCGACTTATGAGTTTGATTATCCCTTTGGCATCTTTTGCTTCTTCTATGCTAATACAACTGTATATCGAAATACTATTGTCTTACCACATATATTAGATATGAGACGTTAACATCTGATTCACATAAAAGAAATAAATAATTTTTTTATCTTTACTCTTGTTCAAAAAGAGAAATTAGTTTTGATAAAACAGGAAAAGTGTCATCTTCTCAAATTTTCCAGATTCAGTAACACTTTTAGAAAATGTTTTGTAGTTTTGGATTTGAAATGAAATCTTAATTGCGTCTATTTTTCTGTCATCAAATCTATATCTTTTCTCTATTTTTTTCACTATTTTCACATTGCCCAACCAATTGTGGAAAAAAAATGTTCTCCTCACTAGTGAAATAACTGTTCTCGGCAAATGATTGGTCGAAATTTAATTATTGTCAAATGTTCGTGGTTTCTTCTGAATTTCCTAGTGTGACGTCATGAAAAAAGGCGACCAATCCTGATGACGTCAGATATAAAGAAAACAACTTTCTGCAAATCTTTTAAAAGGAAGGATAAAAATAATTAGAGAAACAGATTCCACCACTATAACTCGTGTATTACGATATTTCTCCTCTCTCAACAGTTAAATTTTAATTATTTGAAAAAGTCGGCTAGCCTCGCGCTTTAAATCAGAGTGATTTTTATCAAAATTCAAAATCTTTAAGAGTGATGTGTACTCTTTATATTTCAAATACTGAAATGAACAAAAGTAGTCATTATACGTGCTGAAAAAAGCTAGTCCCTACATTTAATAAAACAGATATTTCTGATTTGATCATTGTACTAACTTCATACAATGCAATAAAAGAAACCTAAATTTCATTAATTTGTAATTTATTTTAAATGTTGGTCAATTGTTTTAAAGAAGCAGAATCTACAGTTTTCCAGAAAAAAATGATTGCTAATTTGTTTTCAAGAATATGGTGTATTTTGTATATGAAATATCAATGAAATATATTTTTGTATTACTAACCAAAATGTTTCAACCATCGTACCTTAATGTGTATCATTATGTAGTATGGCATGGTATTGGTTGCAAAAATTAAATATTTTTCATTTATATGCAATATTTTTAATTTAACTGGTATATTTCTTCATTTAAATGCAATATTGTTTATTTGAATGGTATATTTTTTCATTTAAATGCAATATTTTTTATTCAAATTGTATAATTTGTCATTCAAATGCAATATTTTTTTTTTAATGGTATATTTTTTTCATTTAAATGCAGTATTTTTTTTATTCAAATGGTATAATTTGTCATTCAAATGCAGTATTTTTTATTCAATTGGTATAGTAGTTTTTTTATTGATATGCAATAATTGCATTATGGGAAATTTTTTGACGTCACAAGGTCAAATTTGCAACAACGTTTGTGATTGGTCGGTAATTGTTTGGATTTCTCCCCTTTCTTTCTAAACATGAGTGACCAAGAATTAAAAAAACGCGTCGGAATATCGACCCTCTAACTAAATTTGGCGTTCATGCGAGTTCGTGCACTGGCTGTTAATGCCAATAATAATTATTAATTTGACAAGTAATAATAATTAATTTGACACACAACCTGTTCATGGATAGAAAGAGATGCCTGCGTGCATGGCAAAAACGCCTCAAATGAAAACCCTTTCTGAAGAATCTCCCCTCAGTCTACACATTGAAATAAAAAAACAGCTACTTACTGTTCCCATCTCCGAATCCTTTAAATAGATTTTTTTTCAAGCCCCGCAGTAGTTCAATAATTACTATATGTCTTTGCATAAATAAGTATGCAGGGCATATTTCAAAACATATTTTTTCTTCAGGACTTTTAAATGATTTACTTTTCAATACTGCATTTGGAAAAGGGGGGGGGGGTATACAAGTTTATTTTGTGACACAGTATATAATATAATTAGATAATGATTTGTATCCAACAAATTATAGAATTGTACGTTTAGCTATTATCTAGACCCGTACAAAATGTATATGATAAGATACATTTAACAGGGGCGGATCCAGAACCTCTGTATCTAGGGGGGGCGGGGAGGGGTGGGGGTCAGATTTAGATATTTGTATAGAGATGTATATATGCGAGTATTGGCAGTAATGGTTATGGTGTGTGTGTGAGGGGAGGGGGAGGAGGGTGTTCAGATCAAAGATCGCTTCTATAATTCTATATCTTTTAGTTTTTACCATTTCACTCTTTTCTTTATCCTTTGATCTCTATTATATTTGTCCTAAACATGCGTGAAATATTTGCCACTGGATATAAGGCAACCAAAAAACAATCAACATATTCTTCATATTTCATCATTTTTTTATATGTTATCTATAGGTTTGGTCCCGCCCCTTATCTATTTTTTGCACATTATTCTCTCTATGTAAACCCAATTCCTGTCCTGATAAATGGTGACTCATGCATAGCATCATATGTGGTTATTAAAACAAGAAACATATTCATATTATAATAATTTACTGTATGCTTGGACTTATAGACAGATGTCTTTTGTCCCAGATCATGTAATAAAGTAGGTCCTATAAAAATATAATAGCATTTTAATGATGATTATATATATGTATATATATTTAACAATGCCAATTTTTTTCGAAAAAAGGGTAGGGGCAAGGCGTTTTTAAAACATATTAATAGGGCGCGTTTGTTTGTTCTTCGGTAGTGAGCCAGAAGAAGTCCATTTCTGTTTTTTTTGCATTGGGAAGATTTCTGGCTCTCTTCCATCTCTTCTTTTTGTATAGGTTGTTTAGACGGCAGAGGCACATAACAAATATGGCGTCGTTTAGTCTAAATGACATCAATAAATTTATGAATGCAGATATATTAGAATGTGAGCTGTGTTATAAACGTTTTTATGGTATGCCAGCCTTAGTAGGACATCCCTGTAGGACGATAAGCCTGATAAATATAAGAACTACACGGACAATAACAGTTAAGGGACTATTATTTGATATTCTAGGGATGGGATTTTGATTGATTGGTATTTAACGCTACTTTCAACACTATTGGGCTATACCGTGGTGGTCAGTTTAATTTATAGATGAAGGATGGGGAAGGGAAGAGAGGGCATTATTATTCATTTTAATCTGTCGCTCATCATGCCTATTTTTCAGCTCTTATACCAGGCAACCATATTCATATATGAAATCCTTCTGTCCCCCACCCAACAAATAAATAAATATCAAATGGTTTTCCTCTTATTTAACACAAGTTTAAATTGATTGATTGTTTGTTGCTAATTTTTAACGCCCAGTGACAAATATTTCATGCTTATTCAGGAAAACACGAGTTTAGAAGTCAGGTATATAATATAAAAACGAAGAGATGGGATATGATTGCTAATAAGGCAACTATCCAACGGAGTTCAAATATGAAGTGGATGTAAGCAATTATAGACAATCGTAATGCCTTTAACAATGACAAAAACCTATTACTGTAAAGTCGTCTTTAAAAAGCCCGACATGAAAAGTGTGAACAATTTAAACGAAAAACTAAAGGCCTAATTATACATAACAAAACAATTTACAAAATATCAAATATGAGTCGAGACATGAACCAACGACAACCACTAAACTAAAGGCTCCTGACCTGGGACAGGCAAATAAAGAATATGGCAGGGTTAATATAAAAACGAAGATGTGGTATGATTGCATATGAGACAACTCTCCAAATTACACAGAAATCAACAGCTATAAGTCACCGTACGACCTTCGACAATAAGCAAAGCCTACACCGCATAGTCAGCTATAAAAGGCCCCGAAATCACAAATGTAAAACAATGCAAACGAGAAAACTAACGGCCGAATTAATGTACAATAAAATGAACGAAACACAAATATGTATAACACAGCGACAAACGGCAACCACTGAATTACAGGCTTCTGACTTGGGACAAGCACATACATACAGAATGTGGCGGGGTTAAACATGTTAGCGGGATCCCAATCCTCCCTCTAACCTGGGACAGTAGTGTAACAGTACAACAACATGTTTGTGAGCACTCAACCCATCCCGAAGCTCTGACAGTGGTGTAACAGTCCAATAAAAGAAGAAACTGCACTAATCAGTTGCAATTAGATTAACTCAAAAGATCGGTAGGAGACACACAAAAAAAAACCTAATATTAAGACAATAGACACAAAGCACCGACATAAGAGTATTTGCAATTACTGGAAGTTTGTTCAAAGCTAATTACAACTAGTACTGAAATAAATCTTGTTCTCCCAGACTGAAGTATCAATCAGTACACAACGCGCGGCAAAGGATTTATTAAAAAAAGAAAACAGTATGGGAAACGTCTGGTTTACATTGTATATAGATATAAGAAGATGTGGTATGAGTGCCAAGGATACAACTTTCCATCCAAGTCATAATTTGTACATGTAAACCATTATAGGTCAAAGTACGGTCTTCAACACGTAGTCTTTGCTCACACCGAACAACAAGATATAAAGGGCCCCCCAAAAATGACTAGTGTAAAACCATTCAAACGGGAAAACCAACGGTGTCTAATCTATTTGAAAAAAAAAACGTTATACATGCATATAGATCCACAAATAATGAAAGTTTTTGAAAAGTGGTGGTCCGAACGTTTTGACCATCAAAATTTTGAAATAGAAATAATAGTTAGGACCAGAAGATTTTAACAGCCAGTGCAGAACTCGCAGGAACGCCAGATTTAGTTAGAGGGGCGATATTCTGACGCGTTTTTAATTCTTGGTCACTCATCTTTAGAAAGAAAGGGGAGAAATCCAAACAATTACAGACCAATCACAAACGTTGTTGCAAATTTGACCTTATGATGTCAAAGAATTTCCCATAATGCAATTATTGCATATAAATAAAAAAACTACTTTACCAATTGAATAAAAAATATTGCATTTGAATGA